TGCAGCATCCAACAGCTGTTGTCTCAGGGACTACCGGCTGAATGACAAAAACATGTTTTCTCTCTGCATTTCACTTCCCTGCCTGCCTCTTGTAATTATTGTGTTTTATTTGGTGTGATGATGGGGTCTTGTTTTTAGTGTGTCTGTGATTAAGATATTCAAAGGACTCCTTGGAGTGTGTCACAGTCATTTTCTTTTTTATCAGCCTCGACATTTGATTTGTTTCCTGTTCTGTGCAGTGTGGTTTGGAAATTAGACGGCAGCCATCATTGTCTGACTGACATTCTGAGAGTCATAGAAAAGTATGAATCAATTAAAGAAATTAAATAAAATTCTATCACCGCAGTCAGGGATAATTTGCAAACTAAGTAACGGTGGATATTCTTTATCTCATTTCGTGCTTCTTCAGAACTTTAAACTTGCAGAATACAGGAGGTTCCGTAAGCTCTCTGTGCCTATAACCTCTAACCTCCCTTTCTACGGCTCAAAATATGTTCTACAAATTACGTATGTATTACAGATGCATGAAATTGATGCATTGTTCAGTTTAGTTATTTCACTTGACCTCCCTAACGCCCAGTTGGTCTTGGAGGTTTGAGGTTTTCGTTTGCTATAACTGCATTTTGACAGGTTGTAAAACAAGTGCTGTATTCAAGCTGAAGCTTGTTTAAAGACTGTAAACACAATTTCCTCCCCACTGCGATGAGGATGTCCCCCTGTCTGCCCTGCTCTACTGTACATGCCCCTCTGCATTCTGAGGAGGAAATTATTTATATGGTCAGTGTCAGTTGATCATTGATTTGGTAATTACATCTTCTCCCTTGAGACTGGGACAACTGATATACAAGCCCAATGCTGAACGGGAGGTCTCTGACTTATGGCTGATTTGACTCCTCTAGATTTGCCCTCTTTTCTCTTGCCAACGGCTTTTCAACACAACAAACACTCAAACACGAGTATCATCTTTCGTCTCGGGAGAATAGTGCACGCAGAGACGCGCAGGATGTGGTGGCAGACAGTTGAGACGATTTCATTGCTGACAACAGAGAGTAATAAAACACCAACTACAGCGTGTTGTAACAAACCATTTTTTGTGCTTCGAGGCAGCGACGGGCTTTTGAAACACGATGAAGTGTTTGCAATAAATTTAGTAGATTAAACCTTTTAGAGGCTGAATACATTGCAATGTTACGCTAACTCGGATATACACAGTGGACTTTCAATCTCCATGGTAATCTTAAGAGCCATTTGAAAATTAGCGTGTCATGATTTTTTTAAGATCAGCTTTATTACTGTCCAATCCAATTCCAAAGTGACGAGATTTGATTTGTTTGTGTATTTGTATATTTTGTGTTCCACTCAATAATCGAGAGTTTTTCTAGAGCTTGCAATAATCGTTTGAATGAACTACTCTGTTTAGAGCAGCAATAAAAACATAAATTAGCAAACAACTTCCCCCTCGCTTCTCAGCCGGCGGGCATTTATAGCTAACTAGCACTCAATTTAATAAAAAGTGTGTGAACAATAAAAAAAAACACAGATTATTAGCCGTTGCATTAAAACACTGTTGAGCAATAACGCTGTGAGCGTGCTGTATGAAATACGAGAGAGGACCTTTTTCTTCCAGACTGACGGTTAGTCGGTGTCAGTGCAGACAGTTAGTGTTAACCCGCCTCTTAGCTTCACTTCTGTGGTTTATACTGAACATGATATTCTGGCAGCGCTGACTACCAGGTGCTGAAAGCTTTGTTTATGTCTCACATCAACCTAGAAACATTCCTTTGTTGAGATTTATGAGGATCATTAGCTTTGTTTTTAATACAGTTAGAAAAAAAAAGGAAAAAAAAAAGAAGTCTCCTAATCTAGGCATCGCATCTCGGTTTAAAGTCTCTCAATCCCAGCGCCTGTTCCCCCACATCAATGAGATCACAGAATACCTTCACAGGGAAGCTGTATACCAGAGATGACAGCGTTGATAGGAGACCAACACATTGAATCAGCCAGAATAAAATAAGTGATTACTGTTCGCCTTCTTCTGAGTGCTACTTCAAAATGCTCAAGGAATCTCGGCGAAGGGTTGAGGACATTTTTCCAGCTTTACAGCTCCAGCCCCAGAGAAGAGACAATGAGACCCCAACCGGCTTAGTAGTCCAGAACCCCCCCCCCACCCCTCAATGGGAACACGTCTTGGACACACACTCCAATAGTTTTGTCCTGTGTGTTGCTATCTGTGCTCGCTGCAGAGTGGTGGGGGTCTGTGCCAGGCAAAAAGTCCATAGGGACCATTGGAATCGCCGGGGCTGGAGGAAGTTGGTCTGGGTCCAGTGGGGCGATCTGGGCTTTGGTGACAAGCCAAGCTGTCTACTGCAGGGACGCTGGGAAAATGTAAATAAGAGCCTGATAAGGGCTATTGTTTTCATTCCATTCTCATCCCAGCTGAATGGCCTGCTCCCCAGCCACAGAGCATTTTATCTCAAGAAGGGGAGGGGAAGAAATGGAAGGGGTGGGGGCGCGGGAGACTTAAGAGCCCCATTGGAAAATAAAAATAAACTTAGTTGACTCGTCTCTTGTTTGAGCTAATTCCCTAATAAGTGATGTCCTACTTTAAAAGAACAGCAAGACTTCAGAACTCACTGTCTTAAGAAATTATGTTTGCCTTTCAATTCCACCATCACTTAATATCCAGTGAATTCAGTCTGACTCTTTTATTGGAAATAATTGTAGTAGGTGTAATGCAATGTTTGTTTCTTATGGGCTCAGGGTCATAACCTATGAGTAATTATTATATTTATACTAACCAGTGTTTTATTGGCATCTATAATTCCTTTAGAGAAAATAGATAGGCATTTTAGAAGCTGAAATAGAATTCCTCCTATTAATCTAAATTCTTCTGCACAAGAGGCTGTGGACGGGTGGTTTGAAAAAAGCCAGACATCTCATTTACTGTTTTCCCAGAGCATTCCTGTGCACAAGCTCCTCTGCTTTCACCAAATCCATTTTTGGTTGCCTGTTCTGTCCACGCCGTTGTAACGCTAAAAGATGTTGGAGAGTTATTTTATAGACTAATCCAGGTCATCATTCACCTCTCCCAGGTGGAAGGCAGGGAGGACAGCGGTGCATTCCAGCTGTGGTCTTTCCTGTTGGAGGACTTGGCAGGTCGTGTCTGGCCTGACGGAGGGGATGGAGAAGTGAGGGAGAGGCAGCTCTCCTGGGAGGGAGGTGAAAAGCAGGGGGAGGACTGGAGTAGAATGGAAGCTGGCACCACATTATCTCCAACAGTTGGCGCATTGCTTAATGATCAAGTGCTGGAGCAGCATCTGTGATGAAAGTGTGTGTGTGTTTACTTATGTGTATGTGTGTGAGAGGGAGAGAGCGTATGTGTGCATATTAACATATGCTCACTGTGTTTGTTTAATTCCCCTTTGCACTACTTATGAAATAAGCCTGTTTCTGTGCTTTACAGGGAAGGAAATCCTCCACTGCCGTAGTTATGTCTGTCTAAAGATTATGATTTGAAGGAAGTTTGTTGTTTTTCCGGGAGAGGAAGCAGTCTCACGCAGGGGGTGAGGTGCAGAGAAGAAGAGTTGAGCTCTGCTACTCCCCGCTTCCCTTAACCCCTGTTTTAAGATCTGTGATCTTTGTGCCATGGAGGGAGTTAACGCACACAAAGCACACAACACACACAACACACAGCCTTTTCTCTCTCCCTCTCTTAGGGTCAAGGGGACAAACTGTGAGTTGGGAATTGGAAAGTCAATAAAGCAGAAGTAATGTTATAATGACCCTGAGCTGAAGATGTCCTGTCGACCTCCATCATGTTGGAGGAAGTGGACAATCAAACAAAACGGTCACTCTGCTTGATCTCTCTGAAAGCCATGCTTAAACAAGGCCACGTGAGCTCCCGGCCCCAGCGTTACTCCCAGTTCCTCTGCAGCCAGTGTTTGTCAGAGGGTTTCTCAGAGAGATGTTCCAGAAGAATAAAAGGAAACACCACTTGTATACATTCCAAACTGTACATAATACTGAATTTCACATAGTGTGTAAATTAAAATAAAAAGCGCATACTGAGGCAAAACTCGTACATAGCATCGCTCCAAGTATTATCATGCTTCTGAATTGTGTTCCTGTATTGGCAGTGTGATCATAACTGATCCGTTCATTAGAGAGCCCGGGGGCTTAGTGGCAATAATGAGGATGTCTCCTTTGGCTTTGCATTTTGCTCTAACTCTGGACAAACACTCTTTTACAACAGATTCTGAAGACAAAAGCAGTTTCAGGCCGTACATACATTTTTCGCACACAACTGGATTGTACATGACTGCAGCCTGTTGTAATGAAACTCATCAGGACGTCCTGATCTGGTTCAGATTGGAGGCAGACAGTTAGCAGAGACAGTGTCTCAAGGTGGAGGGGTGGAGGCTTGCCTCTGCTGCTGCTGGTGTTTGATGGGAACAGGCTGACCCCTGAGCAGTGGAGGGATGGTGGAGGCCTGGGTCAGCCGGCCCAGTGTGTTCTTTATCAGCTACCCCGGCGACAGCATGGCAGATTGCGGCCATTCCTCCTCTGATTCATTATCTGCTGGACAAATGTTAATTGTTTTCATCATTCGCAGCTATGTGAACACTCAGGCGTAGCCAGTCTCACTCAATGCCCCCCCGCTTAATGTTTGTCTCTGTCCCTCTGCTATAACCCACAATGTCTGCTTCCCTCCTCAGTCCACCCTCAGCTCATCTCTCTGCCGTCGGGCTGAGTTGCTTTTAATGTTCACCGTGCAATACCATTAAATGTCTCTCTCTCATCTGACGCGCTGACGTGCTTTTCTTTCATTCTCAGTTAAGGGAACAGATTGCACAAAAATAGAAAAAGGAAAAAAGAACTTGCACACAATGTTCCGTAAATCTTAAAAAATAGGACTTTATACATGGACCCTTATTTGGACATGGACATTTATTTTGTAATTGAAACGACTAAACTTTTTTTTCTGCATTTTACTCCTTCAGATTCCACATGCATGGAAAAACTTCTTTCCAAAGACTGGAAGGAGAAGATGGAGCGGCTCAACACAAGTGAACTGCTGGCAGAAGTAAAAGGTAGGTTGTACCCTGTGTTAACAAATCCCTCATTCCTATCAAACAAACACAATCTATGCACTGTATAATCTCAGACGCAGCCTTTACTCCAAATTAAAACAAAAGCCTTTGGCTGCCCTCTTCATTCATTTCTCTACTCCCTTATCTTTTGCTGGAATGCCCGACTCTATCCAGAGGGCTATCTTCAAAATTCCAGCCCACTTGGACTCATTTTGAGGCTCTCTGTGCTTGTCAATGGATTATTGTTGTGGTCCCTTTAAACGGCCCCCGAGTTCAGCTACTCTGCTCTGACACATGCCGTGTGTTCATGGCGCTCTGGTAATTGTTGAACCCAAAGTGTGCCTGATGTAAACAGAGCACAGCTGAGCTGAGAGGAGATGGTGCGGCGATGCGCAGAGTCGTCTCCTCGGCGAGCCCGCGATGGAGGGGAATGTCTTGGCCTGACAGTGAACGCCCCGCGCGGCGTTTCAACCCCGCGGCACGGCTAAGCGCAGCTCGGCACTCCCCCGAAATCTGTTTACGACAGGGTGAAGGTGGGCCGAAGATGGGCAGGGCTGCTGCTCAGTCCTTAGCACTGACTGTTACTGAGAGCCGGTGTGTTTATACTGCACAAGAAAGCACAATACCAGCTGGCTGATAACGCCGGGCTGTCACTGGCTCCTGCACTCCCACCCGCGATTACCTTCATTAAATTGTGTTTAATCTCATAATAAAACACTTTGTTAAGACTATTCACACACGCATACAGAGCTCATTTTAGTATTTTGCAGGTGATTGTTTATTTTTTTCCAAAACAAGGGTAAACATACGTAAATAAAACTTTGTGTTTGGTTTTAATTATTGAAATACACTTACAAAGAATTATACAGGAGAGGAAAGAAATGCTGTTGAATCTCCTAATGAGTACACTCATTGGCAATAACCCTAATGAACTGAACGATAAATCATTGATCGGTAGACCAGATTCATTGTACCTGCCTGTATACTGTGTGCCACTGTAGATCAAAGTCCACTGTGTAAAATGTTTTAAATGATTTAGCCTTTTGAAAGCCGGACTGTTAAATAACAGGCAGGGCATTTCTTCTGTGTGATCAATGGGAACAAGAAGGTTACTTGGTGGTCTGTAAACAGGTAGGGAGTCTGATAATAAACACTGTGGCCTCTCTCTGGTGATGAGTTATGGAGACAGTCTATACACCGCAGTTACCAATATAAATGCTTCTCCTATCACAGTGGCAGCCTTAGATTTTTTAATTAGCATGCCATTTCATATGACTGTAGACGTTTCAAAGGGCTGCTTTGTGCTCCCCCCTACAAATGTCTCTCTCTCTGCGTTTGATGTCTGCCTGATGTAAATACGGGCAATTAAAAAGAAGTCCAGGGCTGGAGACTCACAAGGTCCACCTAATTAAAACCCAAACAAAGGTATCTAGTAGAAAACACCTTATGATTAAGATCTAAAGTGTTATGTTGAATCAGAAGTTCCGTTAATCGTAAGGTTCAAATCTGTATAAAAGACAAACATGCCTTTAGTTTTCAAATGAATGAAAGGAAGTTGATAATAATGGCATGCAGATGAAGACTACAGTACCGACTCGCACACTGGCCTTGTATATTCTATGTTGTACCCATTTCTGAACCAATCACACAGAGCACCATGTAGGTTACCTTTTGACATTGTTCCATCAAAACCTTGAAAGACAGGTAATTTTGTTATTGCAGAGGCAAGTGATGGAATCCAACCAGTGATGGAAAGATTTATTCTTGCTCTTAGAAAACAAATAAATCTGTATTATAGAATTGGACCCGGGGCTTTTTGCCCATAAAAAGAAAGACATTCTTTGACTGCGCTTGTGTTCAGACAAGCCCTGAATACTTGTTCCTGTAGAGGTGAACATGCACGTACAGTAAACAAACAAAACCAAACAATAGTATCAACAACATCAGAAATTTGCTTTCATGCAAACCCAACCAGGCGTTTAACTTCTACAGATGACACAGCTTTAATTAGAGCTTATTGTCTGGTGGATGTTTGGCTGTGTTATGGGCTGCTTCCGCGGCAAAGACAAGTTTTAGCTTCAAGAATCAGTAGAAACAAGCACAGTAATCCAGCCGAGGCGATGTGGCGAAGCCACACATAGATTATGATGTTATTAAGGGTTAATGATCTCAAATCTCCATCTGCCTTTTTCTTATATGCCGTTAGGGATTAGGAGACAAGGAGAGTTTTTGGAAGGAGCATTAGTGGCGGATTTCTTTTCACCAGTCAATTCCAGAGCTAACTGTTTGTTTTCATACCTGGGCTTGGCTGTCAATCTGCAGGAACGAAGAAGGAGGTAGATGAAATCTTAGAGCAAGAAAGGGAGGCCGGCTGGAAGGTTTCCAAACCACAGAAAGTAGCAGATAATAGGAGGCACGGTGGAAGGAGGAGTGCAAGAGGTAGAGACAGAAAAAAAGACACCTACACTTGGCATTTATATCATAGCGCATTTTTTCTTCTTTAAAACAATCTTTAAAACAGTCCCTATTCTTCAGATGATTGAGGAAACTTGCAATCATTACTTCTCTATTCTTATATGACGGCTACGGTGTGTGTGTGTGTGTGTGTGTGTGTGTGTGTGTGTGTGTGTGTGTGTGTGCGTGCGTGTGCATGTGCAAACTGTACATTATAAACATGTCAAATGCATATAAATATAGCGCACAGTGGCCTACGCAGATAAGGCTGCCCTCGGTTTCATGCTTGCTATGTGCAGGTTCTTTGAGCCTCGTACTGAACGTAGCTGTTTAAGTTTCCCTGCTGAGTGCCAGTTTCCCGGACCCCTGTTGGGAGAAAAAAAAGAGCAAAATAATCAAGCTTTTTATTCAGACTGAAGAAAATATGTAGTTACTAAATTGGAACACAAGCTGTATTCATTCTCTTGGAATTTGCAAATATTTATTTATTTTTTCAATTTAAACAAGCAAAGCTTAACATGTACACTAGCGTTGAAATGGCGGTTGGAATTGTGAAGCAGAGAAATCGGGGCTCTTGCACAGTCAGAATCAATTTAAGAATGGCGTCGACATGACAGTGGTGGAGTGCACACAGGCAGTCCTGTGGTCGGCAGATAAGTGGAAGCTCTTTAGGAGGAGAACGCGGGGCAGTCCGGGCGGGCAGCTGAGACTGATTTGATGCTGGCCCTACCTGTGCTGGCTTTACTCCCGAGCAGACAGAAAGGAGTCTACTGTGTGAACACAGAGCCCATATTGTTCAGCCGTGGGTGCTTCAAAACACGATTATTCACTTTAAAATGTTACTTTATTCCTAATGGCTTCCATAAAGTGAGGTTTTGATACCATTAGAGATGCAAAGCAACATTTGCCGGGGACACTGACTTGCATAGCTTTAGAAAAGAGTTGTAAAATAATGCGCATTCTAACAACACACACCGCGTACACATGTTATGTATATTATGTGCACCAAACGTAAAAGGAATTTCACACAAATGGCACAAAACATTATCTGTCCAGTTGCTTGAGTCAAAAATGCCCCAGTTAGCATTTTTTCCCCCCACAACGCTTCAGTCATCTATTTGCCCTGTGCACTCAGGTGAAATATGAGCCACAGTAAATCATTATTCTTCAGGCCACATTTGCCAGATGAATGTACGAGAGTGTTGGACTGTGTGTTTTTCTCCTCTAATGAATTGAGGAATTTAGCTTGTGGCAGTGGAGGTAAAATAGGAAGTGCTGTGTGCGTGTGTGTCAGTGTGCGTGTGTGTGCGTGATATAGGGATGGAGTTCTCTGTTTGTATTTTAGGTTATACTCCAGTGGTTGGTCATGGTTTGTTTAACTAATGGCTTTTAAAGTTGTGTGATTCTTTTCATGGATACTAGCATAATACTCCTGTTTTCATTTGAGGAGAATATAAAACATTTACAAAGCTGACAATAACACACCTGTCTTTTATAAAGGGACACCACAAAAATATTGCTCAGCTTTCCCGTAGCAAAACAGATCATGATGGTCTTTTTTGTCATTGCATGTTAAAGGGTTGACCTAAGTTAATTCTAAGGATGTAATTTAATACATCAAACAGATATAAATAGATAATATACTTTGATCAGTTGCAAACATGATGAATTAGAGGGATCTTCTAAAAAGTGAACGCAAGACAAAGGAGGCTTTTAGATATTTTTTTCTCATCTTATAACTAACTTTATTTTCTCAATTATTTTCATTTTTCCAGCAATAACTTTGTAGTCTTCACAATAGCTGTTCGCCTGCAATGTTCAGGGGGCAGGAACAACTTGGCACAAAGCAAGACTCCAAACAACTCATTTCCGAGTTTATACGATCATAGATCATTTCCGCTTGACGAAACGTGACTTCTAGCATTTGCGTCCTTGTGCCGGTGAAATAAAATGCAGGGTCAGTCAATGACTTTTATTGGTCGTCTTTCTGAGCATACCCCAAAAATATTTTTGAAAAGGAGGGAATTAAATTTGAATGTGTAAAAAAAATGATGATTGTAACCTGCTACTAATTAGTGCGTGTGAGGGAGGTATCATACAATTGGAAACTGATAGTTCTTTAATTAACTGCTATCAGATTCATTTTGTTTGTCTAATGATTCAAAAAACCTTCATGCCCTCAAGGACACAAGCAGGAGTCTGCTGCCATTTGCTCTTGTTTAAAAATACAGTTATTAGTTACTGTTGCATTGAAAAGAAATAAACACGTTCTTGATTTGTTTTCACGATAAACATTATACGTATAAACAAAGTAAAAAGTGATCATATACACGTAATGGTTTGGCTTCTTCTTTGATTCAAATTTCTATTATTTCATGCTTTTTATATCTCACTTTAAAAAGTTTTACCTACGAGTTTTGTTTGCCGCTATTGCTCGCTAATTTAAACCTTTTCTTTACATATATTTCTCTTATTTTTTCCATTCTTCTTTAAGTATCAGCTGCCTAGGTAAGACCAAGGACTACCTTCTCTTTGAAAAGAGTAAGGTAACATCTAGTTCCTAAACCAAACCATAAACCGGAGCCTGTATCACCGTCTTACAGGCTTCAAGCACTTTTGGATGAGAGAAACCTTGACCACCATTCTATTTGAGAGGGACGGGGGTCAGACTCACCCCCACGAAAGCCGTGAGCGATGAATAGAAGGATTGAGACGAACTTGGTTTTCTCTTAATCTTTGCTAAATGCTTTCTTGCATAAATGCAACACCCTGCATGGTGCCAGGATGCCTAGTTTGCTGCGATATATATCATTGATTTCTAAAGAATGATCCATTGAAATTACTGAAAGACCAGAAGAAAAGTTTTCTTTTTATTCCTACTGAGGGTCACTTTTATTCCTTGTGGAGTAATATGTTCAGGTCGAGCCTCTGTCTTGGCTTTGGTGAAGTACCCTGTCCAGTGTCATAGGTAGACGCTGAAGTGCTGTAGCTTTTGACATTTGCATAATAATAATGAAGAGTGAGGCTTCCACCATTATGAAAACATGTTAGTCTCCTTCGGTGTGAACAGCACACTGATGAACAGCAAAATCCCAGAAGTTGAAGTGTATTTTTTATGAATAATCACGCCAATCAGTTTCAGACCTTTCAGTTATTTTGATTCTATAAGACAGTCTTAAAAATGATATTTTTCTCATACAGTTAGGCAGTTTTAGTGCGACCCACGCACACGGGGAGAACATGCGGACTCCACGCCGCCCTCGGCTTTCATGTTCAGACCATGTAGGAGCGCTCGGGACTGAGCGTCATTGTTGCCACTGGATGACATGTTCTTGTGAGTCATTGCTCATGCTTGTTAGCGAGGTTTTATTGGCATGATTAATTGCTTTTGTATCATGGCGGGGGCAGCAAGCCAGGTGAAACGTATTATATTGTGTTGTAAGGCACAACGCCATATATATGGTGTCAATGAGACACCCGGCTTTATAGCACTGCAAAAGGAAAACATAGAACGAGCTCATTACAAAATGTTTTAGTAAGATTTGCTTGCGTTTCATGCTTTTGTTGAGTTTCATGGGGTTTAAGAAAGACCTGTTGGCCGAAAACCTTTCTATTTTGAACCAACGGATGCCATTTGCTGTAACTCAATTGGCTCTTTGAGTTTTTCCCCTGAAAGAATGGACAAAGAGTCAGATGACCGCGGAGTTCAGACACGTGTGCATTTACTCAGAGGCGTGTACCTTTCATCGATTGGAACCGCACGCAACACACATGTGTACCTGCTCCTGTCTACATTCACACATACTTTAGGAGAGAACCAGAGAAGCACTAAAAGCATTCAACTTAATGTCGGCCTATATCTACGGCTTGTTACAATCGTGGCATTTAGACGAGTCTTAATTTACTTAGGGCGGGTTCGCAGCATATGGAGGCCTCCACAATAGCTGACTGATAGAGACACAAAGAAATTGCAGTCCTCTGGCATTAAAAAACTTAATTCAGATCTGGTCATAATGGCTCAGCTGTCTTAACCAAAGGAAGGGAAGAGAATAGGGGGCCTTGTGATTTTCCCCCTTTTCACCCTCGCCCTCCCTCGCTTTTCTTCTTTTTTTGTGCCTGAATCTTTTATCTGTGTTATTCACTCGGGACTCTTCAAAGTAACAAGCCTCCTTCTTTTTCCCCGGTACTGGACTTGGAACCCAAATTAGAGACTGCTTGATTAGAGCAGAGAAGAGGGAGCCAAGAGCGAGGGAGATGTGGGTATTGGACAGAACAAATCGCACCCCTACAAAGTGCCTTTTATCCAAAGACCCCAAGGCTTAAATACCCCCATCCCTCCCCAAGCAACCATGGCTCTGCTTGTTTCCCTCTTATCATTTATTTAGTCACCCGTCGCTGATGTTTTCTGCCCTACTTTGGACGTTTAAAAGAGACAGAAATCTCAAAAGGTAAACGCTGAAAGCACTGAAAGTGAACAACACAGCTTTACCGTCTCCTCCTCCTATGTGCCAGTCTGGCGTCTGTCGAGTGAACAGGGGCCCCGAGAAAAAAACAAAACAAAAAAAAAACAAGTAAAGTGCCAGCATAACCTGACCGCTTACTGCTGAGGTCCTCTCCTCAAGTCAGGCTGGTATTGTCTTACTCGGCTTCAGTCGTCCAACAGGGAAGATGTCACAACATGTTAGGTCTGAGCCGACAGCCGGGGGTTTATGCAGAGCCAAGGCATCTCCGGGCCGTCTGTCTGCCATCGCCAGCTCAATGTGAGGAGACACGTTAACAGGCAGACCGCTGCCCCGCCGCTGTTAAAAGCCATGCAATATGCAGGAAAGGGCCTCTTTTGTCAGCAGGTTGGTCAGACGCAGACCACGACTCTCCTCTTCTACACCACCCAATAAAAGTTTTATTTGCATTTTAAAGCTGATCCATAATTTAAAGCAGGAAGAAAGAGATTTTTACACTACCCAGCCAACAAAAAACATGTGTGTCTGATTTTCAAAAGCCTAGAAAGGGAAATGTTTTCACAATGCTTTATTTAAACATTGGCAGCATTCACCAATACTCTGAATGATACTTATTGACGTTCCAGCGTTTTAGTAGGAAATACAGACTTAACAATGTGTTCAATTATTAGGATTACGTTTTGCAAAGGGGAAAGGCCCAAATAGCAGCGCAGAAGGCAGTTTAGACTTCCCAAGGTTTTGCTCAACAAAACAATATGCTCTCTTAGTATTCTTTTGGTGTCTGGACAGAACTGAGCTCTCCACACTCTGTGGACCCCGGCACCAGTACCACAGCCCATCCATGCACACAAACATGTATGTGCTGTCCATCAACATGTGACCGCAGGCATTATTGAGTCCAGGTGTTTGTTTCCCAACTCAAGGTCATCAAGGCCTTGAGGTAGGAAGGCGGTCGTCTTCATCTGTATCATTATTTTCGTCAGTTTCGTTGTTGTCCTTCTTCTCCTCTAGTCCCTCCCACCTCCCCAGCCGGGTATTGGTAGCAATATGTATCTCTCTAGTGACCTGTGCGGCAGGTTCTTCGTGGACAAAGCAAAAGGTCAACAACAACAATTGGTGCTGAATGTATCAATTCTACAGCTAAGCCATTGACAACGAGTGTAGTCGGGTGAATAAGAAGTCAATTCAGGCCTTGGAAGCTGCATGGACGCCCAATGAATAGCTGCTTTTAGGTGTTTTTTTTTTTTCTCGTTCGTAGGATAAATTGAGAATTGCAGCTCTCTTCCAATGCAGCAGGCAGCGGAGGCAGAGCGAGGCGAGCCGAGGTACAGACGAGCCTGCCAGTAAATTGCCCTGAATGGGATCTGGAGGTTGACAAGCCCTATTAAGACAAACTGCTTTCCTCATCGGAGAGATAAAATAAATCAGGTGTTTAGTCAAATTAAAATAGTTTGAGTGGAGAGGGCCCCTGGGAGCTCTCGGAGAAACTCAAGACAGATGTGGCCAGACACGAGAGGAAGACACCCAGGAAAGAATTCAGCTCCTGCTGGCCCCGGGCCAGACTTCGCTGTACACTTGTCTCGATCTCTATGCTTTTATCCTTCGCTCTCCATTCCCGCTGTCCTTCTCTCTCTCTCTCTCTCTCTCTCTCTCTCTCTCTCTCTCTCTCTCTCTCTCTCTCTCTGTCTCTTCTGTCGGTTTTCCCCCCGTCCCTTCTTTCCCTGTGTTCTACAGGATCAGCTTGTCACACACACAAGTCCAGTGGGAGGAGAGTGAGTTACTGTCTAGCCTCTCACTGGCAATTATGTTGGCGGTGTAAGTCAATGGTAGGATCACTTAGCATTGATTAGGCGGAGCGAGAGAGCAGTGCAGCGGAGCTGCTCTATCTATCACACACAGTGCGGACATGTGCCTCCAGAGAGAGAAACAAGCCTGTTGGTCTGTCATTGCTTTGCTTTTTTGAGTATGCATTCAGTAGCTGCACAGATAATTGAATTGATAGTGTATTGTTCACTTTTCCCTTAACATGTTTGTTGCAGTTATTGACAGGTTTGAACAAACCTTTCATTCTTCTGTCAGGAGTTACTCCTCTAATGGGTTGTTGGAAGGGCCGTATAAAGAACTACTTTTGTAGTTCTGAGGCCAACACTAACTCTCAACACTTTCTTTATATTCCCCCCTGGTAGTCTGACATAAGCTGCCACCTCAGTTTGACAGCTCCCTGCTGCTCTTTGTCTACATGGCGGGAACAATTCCTTCCCTTTCTTCCCGTGAATGCTGTGAACACTAGCTACAGTAAATAGATAACTCCAGGCTTCGTGTGACCTTAACAGTTTCTAGTGAATTCACTGCAGTTGGTTGCTGCCTGTGTGGTTTTCTTTGTGCGGTATATTGTGCACTGTACTATAGCACAATATGATGATCGGCATGTGCAGCATTAGTTTATTTTGACCAAAGACCTTCTGCAGGTAATTTCTTTTTCTTTCCTTTTTTTTTTTTAGGTACGAAAGCATTCACCCCAGTTGTTTAGGCCACTACGAGACCTTTTGCGTACTTTTTTTTACCTTCTTTCCTTTTTTTCCTTCTTTCTGGACCACATACCACAACCCCTATATCTATGCATATGACTCAGGATCTCCACCTTGTGTTTGCTGATCCTTTCCACTCCCAACGTTGCTCTCGCTCTTTCCTCCCCGGCTAGGTACTCCAGAGAGCCTGGCAGAAAAGGAACAGCAGCTCTCCACAATGATCAGCCAGCTGATCAGCCTGCGAGAGCAGCTACTGGCTGCCCACGACGAACAGAAGAAGCTGGCCGCCTCGCAGATGGAGAAACAGAGGCAGCAAATGGAGCTGGCTCGTCAGCAGCAGGAGCAGGTAACTGCAGACCCACACATTCTCTGTCTCGTTTCGAAATAGTCGTCCTTTTCGTTTTCTCTCTGTCTTTCTGGAGGCCTGTCTACTTAATCCCCACATTTCTCCACGTTGTGTCTATAACAAACCCCATTAAATACATTTTTTAACAAATTGTCACGTAACTCTCTGACTGAAATGTTAATAAAATCATACTACTCCGTAGGAATTTGGAGGAATACGTGATTTAAGAGATTTTTTTTACATTCTATATATTTATATTTCGGTCATGCTCTCTCGCTCACATTTATGCTGCGTGGTGAAAGAATGTTATTATGACTTGTACTAACAAATGCGAGGGAATGTGCCAATTAAACGTTAAATTAAACATGGAAGTCCTCTATATCGTATAAATCGACTCCTATTAGAACAAACCTGGCATTGGATTTGCTGCACAAATCAGGCCAATGAGCCATATTGTACAAATCAGCAAATTAGCAGAGGCCATGAAGTGTGTTAATGTCTGGGAAGAAATAAGGACACAAACTATCCACACGGGCGACACTTTTATTATCACCAGCCCCCCTAATGGCTATAAGTCAATTATCAGCGAGGAGTTCACTCAGAGTTTTCCCCACACACTCTCAGAGCCTCCTGTGGTAAATGAAGAGACGTATGGACCGTATACCTTGGAGTAATGCATTTGGTCATAGTACACTAATAATACATTAAGACTATTGATTTCTTTTTCAATCAATGATGTTCATTTGCAAACTACACTCAACTGTAGGCTTTGTGAACATTGCAACATAAATGAACAGTCATATAAGATATGTTATTTTAAAATGGAAGAATATTAATAAAATGGATAAGGGGGGGGGGGAGGGGGAGGAAAGGGGGAGAGAGGGATCCCGCTGAGAGCCAGAATGTCATCAAGCCATCAAGATACAACACAGTAATTAACTGTTGACACTCGTGAGGGAACCAGCACAAATTAATCTTGACACATTTGCAGGCGACCGATATCTTACAGTAATTATATTTAAAAATGAAAATTAAATGACACTTAAAACTAGGTTGTCATTCTCAATGGAGTGAGCATGTAGAGCAGGGAATGTCGGGATTAGAGGGATTGTGGTGAGGCTACCCGTCACTCAGTGGCCGCAAGGACGCCTGTCAGCCGTTCACTGCCTGAACCGGTTATCACCATCACACACACGGCCGTCCGTCCCGTAAATCATTTATTCCTTTTTTTTTACCACGAACGTTGACTCTGCAGTTCAGCACTTGTTGTTTTATTTTCATCAGGAAATCAGATTTTTTTGTTTGTCAATGAAAATAAATTCAATAATATTCTACCATATTATTAATCTGCGGCTTCATCCCCTTTGATTATTTTCAATGTAAACACTATTTATTTTATATTTATTATATCTGCTGTTGTAGCACAACAATTGCTATGTATACAATGTCTAGAAAATGAGCAATATATCATATAATTGTAGTTCATTATCCTCTGTAATTCTTAACCACCCTTTACTTCTCTTTCCAACCAGATTGCGAGACAGCAGCAGCAGCTTCTGCAGCAGCAGCACAAAATCAACCTCCTCCAGCAACAGATCCAGGTCAGTAAACGTGTTTCTGTTGGCCTGCTAACACTTACATCTCTTACTTCTTTCTGCGCTGATTACACCTCTCTCTAATTGGTGCCCCACCGCTGTCACAGCAAACCACATATCTGGATTTAATGGCACGGATCAATAGAATTAGAGATTAAAGTAAATATCATTGCTAACTTCTGTTAGCCTCTCCTTCTAATCTTTAAGAAAATGTTTCATCTTTTTATCTTTAATTTTTGTGTCACACTAACATTCATCTATCATCAAATGTTAATTGCCTGTTGGTAATTTGGGAGGGCTTTAAAATATGGAGGAGGATAATTAGCACATCTTAACGAACAAAAAAATAAAAAGGGGAGGAGGGGAGTGGTGGGGTGGAGGGGGGGGGGGGGGCAGCAGCTAATGAGTCCTCGTGATGAAGAAGAGCCTGGAGGTGGTGGGGACATGAAAGAGGCTGGTAAATGCCTCTGAAGCAAGTCGGCCCCAGAAGGGCAACGCGGCGTGCGTTCACAAGTCACAGTGCTGAAAACTTACATTGTCGTTTGTGCTGCGTGACATCCTCGTACCTCTTCCTCGTAAAGTTACTTTACATTTTGACCCATGCATCTCATGCCAGAATCTATCATCCTCATTTGAGTGGGTGTGCCTAATCGTGTGATACAGTACATAGTGGTGTAATGAAAGACCACCCAAACAGCACATAGCAGGACATGGTCAGACAGTCCAGGGTTTTCCAGAGCTGTTCGCTGGCAGCGGTCAAGGCTGTGAGCCTTACTACCCGCGCGCAGCTAACGTTATCCTGCCGGGTGTGCTTTGTGTCAGGCACATCCTTCCCCCGTCCACCTCCTCCTCCACTGCTTGTTATTCTAACGGACAACTCCCCGTCTTGTTCTTTCATTTTCTTGCCATAAATTGTTCCCACCAGCACCTTTCAGCGCTCCATTGATGAGATACTGTTTTTTTTCTCTTTTCTTCTAAAATGCGATTTCTACCCATGGAGGTTGTTCTCGTGATACACTGAGGCAAAACAAACTTCTGCTTTCAAATATCAGTTAGTGGAGATACTGCCAGGACATCAACATGCCTCTTCCAAGAGCTCTTTGCAAGGGAAAGGCCATACGGTCAATATGTTCTTGTGAAGGCACACGTCTGGACCTTGTACTTCAGCAGTGGACAGTCTATTAGAAATTCCACTGGAGAGAAGCACAGAGCACGACACTCTGTCTAGAAAACACTCTAAAATGAAGTACTTTATACACTACTGAGGGACTAGCATACTCATATTATGGATGGCCCTTCACTTATGCCCATTGAGCATGAGGGCACAGTCCTAATGCATCTCACTTTTAAAGGCCCTTGCTTTCATCACAAAGTTAAAAGAAAATGATACCTGAAGATTCTCCTTGATGCATAGATTTGAGAGGGGGTGGGGGGGTTGAGTGTGCATTGGAATGTACTTCTAAATATCAATTTCAAACACTTGAAAAGAGGGTAGAGAGTAGAGTCTTTTTCTTGTAGGGCCCAGTTAGTGAGCCACAGATCTTCCCTGATGAAAAATAAAAAGCCACATCCACAATTAAACCAAAGAGTCCCATCCGCCTTTGCTGTCTCCTCGAAGCAGACAGAACACCTACTAAGAACACAGGAGCCACGCTAAATATTTCAAATGAGCTTGATCGTGCAAACTTGTTTATCAGCAGGTCCTTCAAAGCAGAATATGTTCTTTCTCCCTAACCTAGTTCCTCCCAAGTCAGAGGAGGAAAGACAGTAAACAAGAGGGTCAAAGTTAGTCAAGCATTTTGCCACTGTCTCTTAAAAATGCCCTGTAAATTTTAACATATAACAGCTTTGACTTAATTAGTTTTGTCAACACGCCTCCGGCCTGCGTGTCACAGACTTTTAGTAAAGTGAGAAGCAGCGTTGAGGGATTGAGTTACTGTGCTGTTAGAACGCAGACCTCAAACTTTATTGGAGACCCCACCGGCCTTCAAAGTCCTTCTGTTCTGGATTCAGGAAGAAAGTCAAGAGAGAGCCTATAAGCTCAGGTCCTTTATTGATAATGTAGCTGATCGTCAGTGGAATTGTCCAATGCCCACACAATGAAACCACGGGGACTGTTGTTGGCATGTTATATGGTTTCTTTCAAGGGGCTTGTGCATGTGGATTGAAGGAATTTCTTAAGAAGTGTGTAGCTACGGAGGTTTGGACGGAGGCAGAATGCAGTTTAATCAAGTTTTCCCTTTGAATAGCCATCTCTCTTTTTATCCTCTCCCTACAAGTGAGGGATAGAGATTTAGTCTTTGTCCTTCGGGATTACAATGTCACTTGTTTTAAGATAACAGATGATTGCAGTTTTAGAGGCTTATCAAAAGTTAAAGCTTCAAGGCTTTGTGTGTTTTCCGTCAGCTTGTTTGTATTCCTCATCGTGGAAATCATCTTGGCACTAATTCAATAGCAGGATGAGATTAACTCTTGATTTAGTTGAAACGCCACCAAGACACATGTGACAAATAAACATATATATATTAGCAGCGAGCTGGTTTATCTCAGAAGTTTCTTAAGGCTCTGAGTCTGTGTACGGACTGGGAGATTACCAATAGATTAAGAAATAATGAGCACGCTTTTCTGTTCTTCCCTCAGCCACACTGGGCATTATTTCAGTCTCCTCCTCATTGCTTTCAGTTTCTTAGTCACTCCCACTTTCTCCTGCTCCAAATAGATGAGCGGTCGCAGCAGCTGAGCAGCTAAATGGCAGCATGTTGATCATCAGAGTGTTCACCGCGTTGACTGGCATTTTCTTTCATTTCCTCGTCACAGTGCATCAGTTAAAGGCAACAGAAATGGTGCCGAGAACTGAGAAGTGACACAGGGCAGAATAGTATTTTTTAATGATTATTCTCTGTGGTCACAAAATGAAATAAAATGCCCTGATGAGATGTTGAGCTCGATGTAACTCAAGTGATCGGAGTGTCCATAGTCATGCACTGAGCACCCATCTCCTCATTTCTCACACTTTAATGACCACGGTTTATACACTCGTCAAGGACGGCTCTGTTAATGCGCAAACCATGGTTTGTCCCTCACACGCTCATACGCGGGACCGACCCACGCATTGATACACACATCAAGAGAATGAATATTGGAGGAAAGGTCTGGGTCAACTTTATCTTCACTCAGCTCTGCTCGCCTGATGAAAGAGCGCAACAATTTTAATCTAAATCATTTAATTTAACATGTCAATTCAATAGAAATGCCATGATACAATGCCGTCATCTGCGACTGTGAGATCCAGGGTGTAAGAGATGGTGCATTTCTATGGGCGCCATTGTAAACCCTGCTTTTGAAAACTTAAATGATCTGTTCATCAAGCGGGTCTATTTATTCCCCTTTAACCTTTCGTTCTCTTTCCATACATGGCCGATGGCGGTATGAACAGTACACATTATCTGTGGCCCTTCATCATACCTTTGGTCCAAAAGAACACATTTTGTCCACCGCATACTTCAAAGTCTTCCAGGCTTCAGAAAAAATATGTCTTTTGTGGTGTTAAAATTCTAAAGGGTTTGAAAAAAAAGCTTATATCCAAAGGCACCAGTATTTAGCTCCCCAGCTATAAAGGCGGACAATCCCAGCAGTGGATCTGGAGGCATATGTTTTGAGATGTGACACAGGATCCGGAGCCTGAAGTGATTACAGATTTAATAATATAAACATAAGTAAAGGTAAATAGATACCTAGACTAGACTACTTCTGTTTCAGTACAGAAAAAGACACATTTCCGTCTGTTACAAACTAACCGCATGATTCACAGGAAGGTTTTGTTAAAGAATCGTCTTTGTTAACAGGCTGTAGAGCCTGCCGACTTAAACACACTGGGTTTTTAATGGTGGCTGTTGCTTTAGTTTGCATCAAAAGTCAATGTACGGTCTTACTCACTGAGATGCAGATGACCCCTAATAATTGGCCTGTATCAAACTGTACTATCTGTTTCCATGCAAACCCCACACAGCCTGATTATTCTACTCTATGTTCCGCAGCAGACTAGTTACAATTTCTTTTAGCTATGTATTAAACGTCTCTATGCTGATCAAATATTTTTCTTACCAGCTCTCCCAGCATGAACAAAAATAATTCTGTCAAATTGGTGTTTGGCCTGTATGGTAAATTGGCTTTTAGTAATACCGTTCTGTAATCACTTCTTTGTTATGAAAAAATGGAATATGCATGCTATCCAATCCAATGCAGTAATTTAATGCATTGGTTCTGTTTGGTTACCAATTTAGAGAAGCAAAGAATCCAAAACTAACATTATGGTAAATATATTAAATCAATCAGATGAGTTTAAATAAACACAGAGCTGTATGGTAATTGCTCAAAGATAATAGCACTAATTTATGTTTTCTCAGATGCTTTTGTTGTTTCCCCGGCACAAATGATTTTCTCAGTGTGAGACTCTTATTAATGCGCTGGCAAAAAAAAAAGAAAAGGCTGAAAAATAGACATTGTTAAAGAGAATGTCTAAGTCCCCTAATTAGCACAGCCAGATTGGAACTGTTAGCATGATAATAAGAGAATAATAGAGCAGGGAAATTATCATGTGTGTTTAAGTGTGCAGACTGCAGCCTGTGTGGGTGCTGCCAATGCTTTCCCTTGTGTTGGGGAGCTGTGTGTTAGTATGCCGGTAGGATTATGTTGGGGCATTAACAGCCCAGTCAGATGCGCTTGGCTCTTTCCCAGGGAGGCTCAATCCACCATGTTCATCCCCCATTTAAGGAGACTGTTAGCTGATGAAGATGTGCACATGCAAGACTGAAGATAAAAGAAAGCGCTGACCCGACTCATTAGCCGCTGTGATTTAATATATTGACACTCGGATACAAATAATTCCTTTCAATGGACTTTATCGGCAGGGAGGGATCTATTCAATTAGTTATGAATTGTGTCTTATTGTTAGTAAGCAGAAGAAATGATGACATTACACAAACTGCAATTCAAACAATGAAGCT